ACTGCTCATTTCTCTCCTATAGTTAATTTATGGAAAGTAGACAAATTTTGTTTCCTCACTCAATGGACATGCTGCACATCGCAAACACTTATAGTGACCTCTGGGTGTGTTCTCTGATGGTATATTGGATCGTAGGTCTGCGTGTATCAAAAGATCTCTAATACTTGCAGTTTTTCGAAAACCTATGTTAGGTGTTACTTGGCATCCTGGTATGTCTCCCACAATGTGCCAATGTTTTAAAACAATCCTCCTGATGGAGTATGCCATAGGGGTGTAATCTAATGCCCATAGGAAACCTTCCCTGGATCGGTTAAAATGTAATTATTCTGTAATAAATTAGCTGTGCAAATTGACAAAACAACCTTAAAAGTACTCTGGCTCCTACAATACTGTCATATTTCTGAGGACTCAGTTTTGATTCATCCACTACAATCCAGTAATGAATAGACCTAGCTGTGAGTTCCATGGTTGGATAAAAAACTATACACACGAGCAGAAAAGATACATGTTCATATTATGATGCATATTTTTGAAAGTTTTATTAAGGTTTTATTTTATTTTATCTCTTCTTGTATATTTTGATGCATATTTAGACGTGATGTATCTGATGCAGTTCTTAACTATACAGTTTGGGGTGTATAGACATGTCTATCTCCAATGTGAATTGTATGTACCTGAATAATTGCATGCCAATGTGAATTGTATGTAACTGAATAATTGCATGCATCAGTGTCTGCATTGGAGCCAAGACATAAAGTTTGTGGAATTCTGCTGCATTTCCTAAGTTCACATTTTTATTTGCAGCTCATAAGTAAAAAGGCAATATTTGCTTGTCACACTTATTAATATATTAATGTTTATACCAAATGTATTTGAGCTGTATGCAATTAAATACAATGTATGGTTTTATTTTATTGTTAGCTTCCTTGAGCATTTATCAAAAAAGTGGGATATAATTGTTTTAAATAGTAAAATAAAAGCAAATAATAATGCATAGTGCAAGCTGAGAGCATATCAATAACCTTCTACCAATTTAAAAAGCTTATTTTGTTTCAGACTATACATGACAACCCAGAAAGCTAACCCTCATTTTCTACCAGCAATATGCAAAATGGTGACAATGATAAATTTCACAGTAACATTCCAAGGTTTGCAAGACCAGCTTTTGTCTGCAGTTGTTATTCATGAAAAACCAGAACTTGAACAACAGCGCTGTACATTGCTGGAAAACATATCTGCTGACCTAGTTACACTTCGGGAACTTGAACAAAAATCACTTCATCTTCTACAAAAAACAGATGGTAAATAAAAAGTTTACAGAAATCTTTGAGCTATTATCCATTTGCTTAATTTGTGTTACCCATCAGGATGGGTACAATTCTAGCTTGCTTCCTCGTGGTGCACCCTGGATAACACTAAAGAGCTAGAACTTCTGGCTGCCAGTGCCATACAATAAATAATAATACCCATCAGGATGCAACAGAAATGAATTATTTTCATTAAATGACATGGATAATGTTTCTTAATCTACATTACCTTACAATGTGGAATACAATGCCTAGAGTTTGGGGACAGATGTTGGAATCCTGGTTTCAAGGCCTCAATTCCAGGTTTCAGAAACCTGGCTTCAGCCATGAATTCATTGTGTTGCTTTGTCACTGTTTCTAAGCTAAAACACTGCTCTGAACTCCCGGGAGGAAAGAAGGGATAGAAATATCATAAATAATATGTAGAGTGCATTTAAATTAATCCTCTATAACAGATGTGTCGAATTCATTTGTTACGAGGGCCAGATCTGACATAAATGTCACTTTGTTGGGCTGGGCCATATGTGCCATAAAATGTAATACGAGGTACTGGAGATATAAACTTTATAACGATTATTTCAGATGTCGAATGGCAATAGCAGGTGTGATTGGATTATGTTTGATATGCAAAGGGATAGTAGGCGTGAAGATATCAGCACTGGTAATGAGACAGGAAACCTAGATCTTGATTTGGTACAGAAGGATCCAGAACAGGAGGATGCAAAGAATAAATGGAAATAAGTCTGAAGAAGTGAGCTGTGATTCACAAAAGCACATACTCTACCACAATTTTGTTGGTCTTTAAAGGTGCTACTGGATGTTGTTATTAGAAACTCTTTCTGTTGCTATTAGAACCCACAACATTCAAAAACCAGTGGGGGAACATTTTAACCTTCTAAGATATTCAGTTGCTGATCTAAGAATAGCGATTCTTTTACAAAGGAATTTGAAAGGGAGATCAGAAAGAGAGACTTCGGAATTGCAACTGCTAACGAAGCTCAAGACAATGCATGCTCCTGGACTGAATTGAGACCGAGGTTTCTTCTCTGATTACCAATGCCTGCTATTGTCATTTGCCATCTGAAATCACTTCACTCTCCAAGATATAAGGACAGAGGGACTCACATTCTAGCTGTTTCTGAAGTATGCATTCACTCATAAAAGCTCATGCCCTGCCACAAATTTGGTTAGTCCTTAAGGTGCTACTGGACTCTTGCTCCCTTCCATTAATAAAGAATGCAAGCTGTGTTGTTAGGTTTCTCCCCCCCCCCACATCTGTTAGAAATGGAAAGGGAGATCTCTCCAAGTGTCATGGGACTCCACTTATCTCCCCCGCCCTCTCTCTCTCTCTCTCTCTCAAGTGCTCTCACTGGCACTTCCCCCCACCCCTTTGAAGACGTCTGAACACACACAAAAGCTTATACTTGGAATAAAGAGTTGTTGGTCTCCTTAAAAGAGCCACGGGACTCCGTTTCCCTTTCTCTCTCTCTTCTCCAGAGGAGGAGAGGCAGGAGCCCTCAGCCAATCAGGGGAAGGGAGGCTTGGTTTCCTTTCTCTCCTCTGCAAAGCAGGAAATAGGAGAGAGTGGGCAAAATCAGCTGTGATGAAGGAAGCAGGAACAGGACACAGCAGAGAGCCGCTTCCTCACAGGCCAGATAGGAGCCCTACAGGGGCTGGATCCAGCCTGCAGGCCATATGTTTGACACCCCTGCTCTATAATTTCCATGGCAGTTGTAGTCAATCAGTACCTGATACATAAAAACTCTTTCTTCTAAGGTTGTTGAGCTATAGATCCTTGTAGCTTGGCACAAATAGTCATATCTTGTAAACAGCCACATTATTCCATATAAAATCAAGAACAAAATCAATGTAATACCTTTTGTTAGGACCAACCAAATTGATACTAAACCATGTGCAAGATTTTGGGTTCACAAAAACTGTTAATCAGGCTTCAGGTTTAAAATACTCCTATGTAAAATAGAACCCCTGATTTTCATGCAGTAATGACAATATAGCTTGTAAACATAGCAAAGGTTTTAAATCATCGTTGTGTTTATTTGCTTTATTCTGTATGGAAACTGAAATAAGATCTATTTAAATTTTAGGACATATTTTAGATGACCAGGACCTCATTAACAATTTACAGAAAACAAAAATCACCTCAACAGAGATATTTGAGCGCGTTGAAGCATCAGCAAGAACAGAAGATATAATAGAAAAAATGCGTAAAAACTATCTTCCTATTGCAACTCGAGGTGCTGTGCTGTACTTTATGGTGTCAGATCTTGTCCACATAAACCATATGTATCAGTTTTCATTGGTGTGGTTCCGTAAGATCTTTGTAGATTCCATGGATTATATTAGCAAACTAAAAAGTCATATTTCTCTGAGTGAATCACATATTCCTATAACTGGAACTGTTCGAGCTCTCAGTAGGCAAAGAAGACATTCCGCCTTAGAAGATTGGGAAGGATGTGAGATGGATAACTTCAACAGACTTGTTAATAATATACTTGACAAGTTAACAAGTAATGTTTATAAGGTACTCTTACCTGTATCTATTACAAAAATTATTTTTGACTGATTTTGGTAGTGTATTTGCAGTGTATAGTTCATTATCATGATTGTTGTATTTCTTATCCCCTCAGACAGTTTCTTCAGCTCTTTTTAGTGAACATCAACTATGCTTTTCTTTCTTGCTGTGTGCCGCAATCGTGAAAACTAATTGTGGTGAAAATCAATTTACTAACAATTTTGGATTTATACCGGAGAATCAGTGGAACTTCTTTCTGTATTCTAGCATGATGGCAAATTTTAAGGACCCACAAGACTCTGAGAGTAATGGTAAAGAAATCCACTTTTAGTTAAAAGAAATAAATATATAAGAAAAATTGTGTTCTTACAAGGACATATGCAGATAATCATCACTAAGGGAGGGATTGCTATACATATGCAGCATTTGTCTCTAAGTAGTTTTGGGCTGAAAACAGTGCTTTTGCCAATGGGGAGTTTTCACTGATTCCCTCCTCCCACTGCAGACAACCACATCATACCCAGTGCTGTTCTTGGTGGCCCTTTTAACCTAGGTTAGGGGAGCCTGTGGGGCATGGTGAGCTTTACAATGAGGGGAGAGACAAGAAAGTTCCATCCCATGAATGAAGGTCTGCTCATAGTGTATTAGATTAAACCCAGTACATTAAATGTGTCATTTCCATGCTTCTGCTGCTTGAAGTGATTTAGAGAGTGTAGAAATTGCCATATTTTCTACTTGATCATCACAAATGACAACAAAATCTGTCACTGAGCAAAACTAAGCTTATGTGAAAAAAACAACAAAGAATCCTCTAATACTTTTTTTAAAATTTAGTCTCAGAACTGGAATGGACTACCAAGGTCATCTAGTCCAACCTCCTGCTAACACAGGAACTACAACTGTAATATTCCTGACATCCAGTTGATACTTAAAATGGCTGCCCTGTTTGATGGTGCAGATCTGCCTCTCCAACTGACAGCTGCTGTGGGGATTGGCAGAGGCTGCTGGACATTTGGGGGGCCTCAGCAACAACTCAGGCTTTTAAAGAGCTGCTGCATTAAGCTGTGTGGTGACAATGGAGTAATACTTGTTGGCGTGCCAGACATGGGGTATCCCACTTGATGAAATTCTACCTGACCTCTCGCAAGATGAGGACTTCTAGGAAAGGGCTGAGAAGATCAATGGAGCATGCACACTCAGTTTGCCACATTTTCTTCAAAAAGAGCCTGAATGAGGCAGATGGCTGCCCTTTTCTAGCTATGGTGGAAGAGAAGGAGGAGGAATATCCCCTTCCCATTCTTATTAGCCATCTGGGCGAGTGGTTGCAGGAGGGATACAAAATTGCCCATAAGGTGGTTGGTCACCTTTACATACCAATCTGGCATGTGAGAAAAGCTCATCAGTTTTTAAGTTAGTTTGTTTTACTTTTGTAAATGTAGCAGGCTATCATAACTTTTTCCTCTATTTTATACAATGGAAAATTTATATTGTATATTGAAAAGGGGATACTACCATACCATAAATAGAGCTAATACTTTGAACAGTTTTAAATAAAATGAATATTTTATTGGTACAATATTTCAGTTAACATGATTGCTGTAACACTTTTTTTATTGACTCTCCTAAAAAGGAGAGAGTTTATTGCTTTTAATATCAGAAAAGGGGAAGGTATATAGCGGGACTAAGAAAAGGTTGAGTGATGCTCTTATTAGTATGTTAATATTTTGTTAGTATTAAACAAATCTTCTTTTGGCTTCTTCTGCGAGTTGTCAATCGTCTTTCATCTTGACCTGTGAAAAACAAATATAAATGTTAATGTATTAGTAGTGTCCCTTTGGTTTATTGTTAGTAATGTCTTTTCATGCGCTTTCCGAACCAGTCTTCATGTTCTGGGCTGCCTTACTTTTATGTCTCTCAGGTTGTAAGATGGACCTTTCCCCGTTCCTTCATCTTCCGGAGTCTTGTCCTCCCTCTCCAAGCCGCTGTCTCGTTCACTGTCCAATTCTTCCCATCTGGCAAGTGCTGCCTCTTCTGAGCTGGCGTGTCTCTTCAAAAAGTCTTGGGCTTTGAAAATGGAGTCAATCTTCTCCCTTTTATCTTTAAACTTGAAAGTAAGTCCTTCTGGAATCAACCAGCGATAACTAATTTGGTAGTTTTGCAAGAATAAGGTCAGTCCTTTATATGCCTTCCTCTTCATTCGAATTTCAAATGGAACATCTTTCAAAATTCTGACCGTCTGCTCTCCAATCTTCATAGGCGTTGACGAAGACGCTCTCAATATTTGATCCCGAATTCTCTGCTTTGTAAACTTGACCACCACTTCTGTCGGCAAATTTTTCATCTT